TTTTATTCTTAAACCCATTCTGTTAGTGCCGGTTTACCCTCGTTGAATAGGTTTCAATATAAATTATGTACAATAATGTATATGGTAGTGTAATTATCTGCTTAATATTATTTTATGATTATTTTGACATTTTGTATTTGAATTTAATAAAGATTATACAAAAAGGAATTTTAATTTACTGACATTTCATTTTATCAGAATTATTACTATTACAGTTGTATAAAACTAATTAATTATGAATTTAAGCCATCGGTGTTCTGTTCATGAGTAATGCAGAAGTATTGAATACAATCCTTTTGGGATTTAATTAATAAATTATAAGCACTACAGATGTATTACTCATATCAAAGTTTAATTTAAACCAATTTACTTCATGTAATTAAATTTAAGGGTGACGTGGATGTGTGGTGGCTATCTTACTGTCCTATATATGATACAAAATCTCTACCAAAAATACAAACTGTGTATTATTAAATTGATGTAATTTAAACCAAAACATGTTCAGTTTACTAATATCTTATATTAATATTTTATTTATTTTTTTATTATTTCCACATTAATTTTGAATAATAATTATTATTATTTTATTTCACTTTATGTCTATTTCGTGAATACTTACCTGGGTAAAACTGACTAATTGCCTAAACTCTCCCAAAAGAGAACATCCTTCGAAAACAAAATGGAACAGTCAGCCCTGGTGCCAAGCTCAAGCGATCCCGCAAACCATGCGACATCCTCATTTTTTTTTTAAAGATCTTTGATTACTTATCGGAAGGAGTCCTCCTCGGTCTTTAAGATTCAAGATTCCAAATGCTTAACTATTCCCATTTTCTTTGATAAGGCTCTATATTATTCTGATGATATTTATAACAAAATAATTGAAATTATGTAACTTTTCTATTGACACCATTACCTGTATTATACTGTACATAATTTTTTTAGAACCAAATTGTTAACAGATTTTTATAAGTGTCATTAATTAGGTACCTGTTGATATCTAAATAGGACCGTTAACAAATGTTGAGATCAAAGATCACTATATAATTGTTTCTGATATTCTTTCGCAGTTAATGGTACCGATGGCGGAAGAACTAAGACACCAGAACACCCGTTTTCACCAAAGCTTTACAGGAATGTGCAGTCTCGGATTGATAGTGGTCGCGGCAAAGGTTCAAACAAGTCCGCGAAGGAGGCACTTGCAGAGAGGAAGAATTCCATTGGCTCGCAAGGCTCCCCTGTCACTGTAAGAGCAGCATCTACAAAGGTAAGAAAAGGGAATGAGGAGGTAAAAATAATTTTAAAATGGATTTGAAGTCAGGCTCCGGAGGAAAAAAATTCTTTGATATGTTGTATAACTCATTTTTCTGAGACATCAAAAAGCATATTTAACGAAAAAATCGCCAGCTGTTAATGAGATACATATTTTGGAATATTTAAAAACTGGAGGAAACATGTGGAAAAAATGTTGGTTATGCCTAGTTTTTGAATATTTAAAAATCTGTATCTCATTCTGTTCCCAAGTTTTTCGTGAAATATGCTTTTTGTGTTAGTTGTGCAACATGCCTATAAAATTGTTTTTTCCTCCGGAACTCGGATGTAATAAAATGTATGATTATGAATAGAAAAAAAGAGTCAAAATTTATAAGTTGAGTAATTTAATAAGTATGAAAGAAGATGTGGAAGCAGGACAGATGACTATTCTTTGATGTATGTTTTGAAATGTACCTTATTTAAAAAATATTTCTTGAAAAGAAACTTGTCCTGTACGCAAGAAAATGTTATAGCCAGGCTCCGGAGAGAACAAATGTTGATGTGTTGTGCAACTTTTGTCTCGTCGGTTCCTCGCACTTGTTGTTAGGAAATTTTAAGTATAAAGGTGTGTTTTATGAAAAACTAAGAATGATTAATGAGATACAAATTGTTTACATAGGAGAATTGGATTATCCACCCCCTTTCCCACCTTTTCCCGACTTCCACCATTTTTTAAATATTACAAAATCTGTATCACATTATTTACCGTTCCTGAGTTTTTTTGTTTGTGTCTTATAAAAATCAGTTTTTACAACATACCAAAAAAAGTTTCCCTCCAGAACATGGCTTTAAATTTCTCATGCTATCAGTGCTTTTGTGTGCAGTGCTTTACACGGCATGCCTATGTTTTTTTTTATTTTGCAAATATTCAGTGTAATGGTGTGAACAGTATATAATTGATCTTGAGATCTGTCAGTCGATATTTGTCGTCAGTGATATTGTTTGTTCTATGAGGTATGTGTCAGCGAACAAATTGAATAGAAAATCTTGAATTCTTTATGCTCTCAATGCCTTTCCGTATACAACACTCCACGGCATGACTACCGTATGTTATTTATGTGAACATTCAATTTAAATGTAATTGAAAGAACCTTATATGATTCATCTTAAGATCTTTCAGTCAATATTTGTCGTCAACGATCTTGTTTGTTCTATGAGCTAGTGTGTGTTGGTGAACAAAGATAGTATTTTTGACACGTTTTTAGGCTGATTGTTTTATTTGTTCGAGATTTTGATGGTTCTACCCGTTATTGATGAGGTGTTGCAAATAAGTGCTGTGAATCATCGTTTTCTGGTGACTCACCATTTGCGTAAGAGGGCGACAAATGATGATAGCGAGAAAATGTCAACAGTGCATTATTCCTCATGAGCGCTGTTTTGTGATACATTAATATATTTTGCAATAAAGCATGTTTAGGGGCTTTTATGTGTCTGGAAATTTTTTGTCAATTGCTGCAGTATGGGATGCTTTTCCAGTGTTTGTAGTTCATATTCCTTCCTTTAAGATTGATTTACTACTGTATATTGAAAACAGAGGAATTGTTTTCAAATAACATTATTTCAATATTGTTAACATACATACTTAACTCCCATTCATATTATTTTTAAAGTGTTATCATAAGGCAGGAATGCCAAGTTAAAAAATAGAAACTATTTAAACATAAAAGCAAGAGTAATATTTCTATCATTTTTAATATATTATTTGTCAACAGGTTTGGAAAAAAATATGTTGTGCCTTCAACCGTTAAAATTATATTTATATAACTGTAGCACTAAAAGTTACCTATGTGCTAAATAGATAGCCCAACAGTGGTTGTCTGGAGAAAGAAAATAATATTTTTCACCTGAATATTGCCTCCGAAGAATACATGATGTGTCCGACCTCTGGCCTATCAAGGCTAGTCTAAAATATAGTTAAGATTGTTGCTTGAAATAAAACAGTATTTGGGATTACAAAATACAGAGAAGGTTCTAAAGGTTACAGTATCTCTAAATCACATTCTCTTATTCCTAATCAGCCAAGACAGATCAGGCTGAACTGAAGATTATTATAATGAACCAAAAATTTATTTCATTATATAAGTAGAATCCTAGCCCTGTAAAATATAAAAATAATACTGAATGATTATATAGAATTTTAAATCTAAAGAATATTTAAAAATTATTCAATTTTTTCTATTTTTGCCATCACTATAATACTGTAATCTGGTATTGACTTCTAAATTGCACTGTTTTTTACGCTTGGGTGATCACTGTTTCAGAATCTGGATAAAGGTCATCGTAATGTCGATCAATACAAATAATCCTGAATATCTAATGGTTGATAGTATGGGCTGTGTTAAATCCATTACACTATTATGGATTAAATTGTTTTCATGCTTTGCCTATGGACGTATATTTTGGTCAGTCTCGGAATTTGAGGATTTTGGTAATGGAGGAGGATGTGGCTAAATCCTAAGGCTCTGGCTAGATTAACAAATTTTCATTGACGATAAACTGTTGTGTGCCTGTATGTAGTCATAATGTGCCTATTTATAGTCATGATGTAATATCATCATCACCATATGTATGCATGTCACATGCCCTTGTAAATATCTTAATAATTTCTCTGTAAATCCCAATAGGCCTATTGATTTGTTTTCCACCTGTTTCTTTGTCATTGTTGTTTCTCGTTTCTTCTTGTTATCCTTTTAAAGTGTTTGATTATATATGCAATGTGTGAATCCCAGCAATTCAGTTTTTACTGTGATTTGTGGATATTGTTGGAAATACAGAATAAAATTTGGTAGTCTAGACCGGCCTTAAATCCTAATTCTGCTAACTTCTCTGATGAACATGAAATAGGCTATAGTATTTGCAAATAATATTTTGAATATATATGATACACAATAATATAAATACATAAAGTGTATATATTAGGGACCTTACCTGGGAGAAGCAGGTACAGAGTAGAGAAGAAAAACAGTACAGTGAAGAGATAGGGTTGTAAGAAAAAATGGCCCTGAAAGAATGGCCCAGAAAAAATGGCCCCTGGAAAAAATGGCCCCAGTAAAAATGGCCCCAAATGACAGGTAGGTAAAAAATGTTATATAATACATTATTATTTTTTAAAAATGCATAATAATTTATATTGATTGATTCAGTTTTTGTTATTTTGCATCATTTAAATAATTGGAAGTTCTTTCAGGGCCATTTTTTCCGTATAGTGATAGATAGACATAAAGGTAGACAAAAATAAAATACAGTTAAGTTGGTGCAAAAATTTCATTATAAATAACATATTTTGAGAGCAGTCTTTTCCCTATAAATAACTTATACTGTAGTTTACCACTGAAACGACTTAGTTACAGCTCATATAATGTCTAGTTACCAAATATCATAGGCATAAAAAATAATTTTTTGTTTTATAATTATACATAGGTTAAACTAATAATAATATAATTTATCAAATTTCAATTATATGATTCAGTTTTTTTAATTTACATTTTTTCTCCCGCAAATGTTCTTAAATTTCTTTCCAAGTATTTGCAACAATTATGCATATGTTAATTGGTGATAAAAACATTTCTTTGTTCTCAACTTTAACTAAAAGCCAATTAAATATACAAATTAAATCAAGTTAATATTTAATTACTTTCTTAAATTTATTAACTCGAGACAGACAGTCTTCAGATTAAACTGATGCAGAAGACAAAGAAATTGAGGGGCAGCTGGAAATAACGAACCTGAGTATTGCACTCCGTGAAATTTGATTAGCAATCCCCAACCTGAGCCACATAATTTAGGCTTGTTTGGTGCAAATCACACACACATAATGCAAGTGGTACACAATACAATATTGATTCGCTTGCCAGACTACGGCTCAGTCTCGGGAGGCTTGCGTGTCATACGCAGCCCTTATGTCCCTGTATTAATTAGGCTGCTTGCATGTAATAGGTCTGAACAAATAATAATGATTTCAGATATGATCAGAAAAAAAATTATTCTTAAAATGTAGGTATTGAAATTATTGCATGAAAAATCAATCCACCTGTAGTATTATACCTATGGTATTCATTGTAGACGTAAAATAATACATCACCTTTAAAACCTGTACTTGTATATCAATTGATATCCCATAGAGAAACAATGTAGCTCAGCTTAAAAATAAATCATAGGCATTTAATATGGTATACAAAACCACCTTCTCTTCTCCTTCATCCAATCATAAAAAATAATAATGAAATTCATAATTACATTTAGAACCATTGTCTGTCATAAGCCCCCACTAATTCCGTTTAATTTTTTTTTTCAAAAGGAAATAGTTTTATGGTGAAAAGACTACTAGGTCTAGTCTATAATATTAAAAATAGAGCTATACTAGAAAATGTAGATCTTTATGTTACTGTAATATATGTGAAATTATGTACAAACACAGAATAATTCTACAGTACAGTACATAGTTGGTACTATGTGTAGTGAGGCTGAATTTCATGCAATGCACATGCCTTTAACACGTTTTAGATATTCATTTTTTAATAGCATTGTGCAGTAGTAGATCTAGACTACACCACATGTATGTATGCACATTAAGTGCAGTACAAAAGAAAGGTGTGACATAATTAAATCTGTCAAGGTATAAGAAGCTGACTCATCTGACCTTTGATTAAACCTGTATATTAATAATAATATTTTAATATATTGGAAATGTAAGGTTCATTTTCGAGATCAGGTTTTCAGGATTAGGAATTCTCAGAATTTGAGAGGAAATCACATTCAAATCAAAAACCAGCATTCATGAAATGTGGATTTCACTCTTATTCCTATAATGTCTTGTGACATTTCACCTGAGCCTGATTCAACCTGGACATATGGATAATATTTTTGAATATACAGTAGTTTAAAGTTATGAATATTTTTTACTAAAATCAACAATTTGAATTTCATTCTTTTCGACAAAATATCTTAAAAATA